AGCTGTCGGTGGAGGGACCAGCTGCAAGGCTGATCGGGGATTATGAAGCGATAATAGCTTGGTTTATGAAGTATTGAAAGCTGTAAGCCAGTTTTTTATTAACCATTAATCTGTTAGAGCTGTCAGTGGAGGGACCAGCTGCAAGGCTGATCGGGGATTATGAAGCGATAATAGCTTGGTTTATGAAGTATTGAAAGCTGTAAGCCAGTTTTTTATTAACCATTAATCTGTTAGAGCTGTCAGTGGAGGGACCAGCTGCAAGGCTGATCGGGGATTATGAAGCGATAATAGCTTGGTTTATGAAGTATTGAAAGCCGTAAGCCAGTTTTTATTAACCATTAATCTGTTAGAGCTGTCAGTGGAGGACCAGCTGCAAGGCTGATCGGGGATTATGACGCGATACTAACTTGATATTTTAAAGTACTGAAAGTTGTAAGCCAGTTTTTTAATCACTGATCTGTTAGAGCTGTCAGTGGCGGGATCAGCTGCCATATCATCAGCATAGATATTTACTATGGCGTTAAGATAAATTGTTTCTAACATTAAAAAAGGAATAAAACCGAGAAGGTGAAAACATTGTAGGAACATTTGATTTGATCTCTTGAGCTCCAGACGATTGACCTTTCACGACTACTTTCATAAAACTGAGAGAAAAGACTTGATAATAGCGTAAACTCTTCTAGAATTGCCAAACCTGGAGAGTCTTTGTAGCAATCCCCTAACATGTCCATCGCGTAATCGCTGTTCAAAACTAGAACCAAGTGATTAAGAATGTAATTATGTCGCAACAAAAAGAAAAAAAAGTATAGCAGACACTTCCTGCTCGTCGTTATAATCTCGAATTTGAAGTGAGCACAGACATTTCTTAATGAGGGAATAGCCATTAAGCCCAGGCTTTGTTAAGAATTTTAGCGTCTGCAAAGAAAGTCGGCGAACGAGGTAGAGAGATAGAGGATTGGCAGTAATTGATTGTTACTGATACCAAGGGATATGTTCGACTTCTAATTGCTGTGTAATGCGAAATTGTTCGAGGTAAAAATGTTTGCACGATATTTTATGATGAAAGAGAAAGAATAATTTTCTTGGAAAAGCGTGAAGATGATGAAAATATCGAACAGACACATATTTAATGTGTGTACAACCATACCCACGCACACATGAATATCTTTAATCAACGCCGAAGTGGTTAACCACCTTACATCCCAAAATCTGCTCTCAGACAACCAATATGGCTTCCGCTTTGCCCGATCTACAGCTGATGTGCTTACATTACTGAAATTGTCTAGCAAGGTCTTCAGAATAACGGAGAAGCTCGTGCCTTGGCCCTACACATCTCCAAAGTGTTTGATAGGGTTTGGCATGCTGGCCTTCTTTGCAAATTCCAGGGTTATGGTATTACAGGTCGATTGTTTGACTTAATACAATCATTTCTGTCTAACCGTGAATTGAAGGCCGTTCTCAACGGATTCTCCTCCAGCTCCTATCCCACGAACACAGGTGTTCCCCAAGGCTCCATCCTAGGCCCTACCATCTTCAAACGATCTTCCTGACGCCATTGATTCCCAACTAGGATTCTACGCGGACTCACTGCCTCAAAAACAAAAGTGTCGCTGACAAAACTAACCTGGCGGTTCGTCTTGAAAAGGACCTCCAGTCGGTTGTGAACTCGGGCAGGAATTGGCTGGTTAACTTTAACGCCTCCAAAACAAAACTGCTCTCTATTAATCACCACAGATATCCTTCCCTGCCCTCCATTAGAATGTCTGACGCTCAACTTCCCGAAAGTGTCTCTCTGCGGCTGCTCGGTCTCACGTTATCTACTGACCTGAGATGGAACAAATACATTGAGTCAATTGCTTCGTCCACTGCAACTGGCTCTGATCTGGCATCTCGTCCGCAGTCGCTCTCTCACAGACGTGCCGTCGCCTCTCTCTGTCTTTTTTACAAATACTTTCATGGTAATTGCTCCGATGAGCTGCTTTCGCTGGTTCCCAGACTTCACGAATTCAAGCGTTCTACGTGGCTGGCATCTCGCTCTCAGCCTTTCACTGGTGAAACTGTTAAATGTAGCCGCCTCTTCTACTCCAATAGCTTCATATCTCGCACCTCTCGCCTGTGGAACTCTTTTCCCTATTCCTGTTTCCTTGATAGTTATAATCTACAACTATTCAAATGTAATGTCAATCGACATCTCCAGTTGCCTTGATCTATCCACTATGCTTCTCCTCATCCTTTCCTCTATCACTCCTACCTGCTCTTGCTCCAAATCCTCTATAACCCCTTGCATGCTAGAGGCTGCCTGTCTTGCTAGGGTGAAATGTTTAATATATATATATATATATATATATATATAGATTTGTCCTTCTTCAAACCAGTTGCCATCCATCCAAGGCTATAGAACATAGTCTGTCCTGCTATTTATCCACCATATCCACATATATATATATATATATATATATATATATATATATATATATATATATATATATAATTTTTTTCCATAGGTGACGCAGTTTTGAGCGCCTTGTCAAATACGAGTATTCACTAATAATAACGTTTAAAGCGATACAAATCTGTTGAATTTATAAATCCATTCTGATACATATATATATATATATATATATATATATATATATATATTGGGGGAAACAAATATTCACACAGATACAAATTTGTAATTTATTGTCATCATTGACTATGCTACAGGCTATGCTACAGCGAACAAGAAATCGTGTGCCATCTTCGTGTCCATATAGATATGTATTAAATTACTACTATTATCGACTTCTCATTTTGTAACAATTTCCACATATTTGTCTGTTAATTTACTTTTATAATGATTTTTTTAAATTGTAAAGTGTATATGAAATTTATGTTCTTTTTTCCCGGATTTTTGTCATCAGCCGACTATATTTACATATGATGATGACTACAATTCAATTTAGAGCAATGCCATAGTCTCTTGATCCATCCTAAATTAAGAGCAGCGCAGGCGTATTTTTTTTTTTTTTTTTAGTTCTGCTAGGGTCTTACATTGTCTTGTGCAAATATGGCAACCTTGGTCGTTTATGTAGTAGCTGTTACATCAGTGCCACATGAATAACTTATATATACCAACATATATATATATATATGTGTGTGTGTGTGTATGTATGTATGTATGTATGTGTGTGTGTGTGTATTCAATAAATTTAATTTAAATGGAATGGCAGTCGTTATCTACTGCCATCCTGATTGCTCTTTTTTCTTCCCGCGCATTAGTAATGTTTCTGTTCCAGTTTCTTCCAAGTCCAGTGACCTCTTGTGTTTTAGTGGTTTCACTGCCTTGATTGGGGTGAAATCGATTAAAAAATGTTCAATTATCTCATTGACCAATTCCAGTTTAAAGTGATATAACTCTTTAGGGAAAGATAGTCGGATAAATCTGTT